CTTTAATTATTTCAATCTCTATTAGTCGTAGTAAAATTCACTGCTGATTTCCTGGTAGGTATTGTTTAAATGGTATTATGTAATCAAAAAAGGACATCGTATTGGCTACATAAAAAAGAGTACCTAACATTCGATACATCCCACTTAAATAGTTGTATTTCTAAATACCATTTTTTTTGCTTTTTAACATGGAACCTTCAGTCAGAATACCATTGTTTTACTTTTATTACTTAAATATATCCTTTGTTGTGTATGTTATAATACATAAAAAAGTATATATTTAAGTTAAAAAGCAAAAAATGGTATTTTTACTTACAACAACTTACGTGGGAGGTATCGAATTATTTTATTGAATATCATGATGTTTTGCTATCATTATTTCCATACATATTTTTTCCGACTTCAAAAAAGGAGGTTCTCATTTCGTCTGTATTTGTTTGTATTTGTTTGTATGCGTGTTACGCGATAACAAAAAAACAACCTGAAAAGTTCGTGGAATTAAACCTATTTGCCAAGTTTTGTTGAAATCGGTTACCGGAAAGTCGGCGAGAACCGGATTCATCCCTTAGTTTGTTTGTTTTAGTGGTAGAATATTTATATTCAAATTTAAATGGGACCAATACTGAGGTACCCTTTTTCCAACAAAACAGAATCATCAAAATCAGTTCACAAATACCGGAACAATCGCGTACGCGTACTACAAAAAATCAGTCGGAAGTGAGAACCTCCTCCTTTTTTTTGAACACGGTTAATAAAAAAGGTTTTGTTATGTACATTAACATTATAATTATATACGTTAATACTTGTAACGTAGTTAAGAGTCGCCGCTTATTCTGTTTACCAGACACTGCAGTTTTTGATTTTTTTTTTATGATATCAAGCGACAGAACAAACAGGTCGTGCGTCTGGTGGTAAACGACACACCTACTCACAACAGTTGCAGTGCTACTCATAGCTTTAAATCGCAAAGATCTGAGGGGCACTGCCACTGCGCCCGACACTCTGAGATATAAGTTGACATGTCCCATGTGCCTGTAATTTCAACAGCACCCTTACCCTTCAAAACCGGAACACAGTAATGCTGACATTACTGCTTGGCGGCAGAAATAGGCAAGGTGGCAGTACTTCCATGGACGAACTCTTTCACAAGGGGCTCTACTGCTGCTAAATATGTTGATAGAGTGGTAGTACCTCCCTGGTCCGAACCCTTACACAAGGAGTTCTGCTGTTTCTAAAAATTCCAGTGAAACTATCACGAATCAGGAAATATAACTTAACGATATATTAATATTGCCATAATGGTATCCGTGTTATTGAAAATAATCCAATTCGAAATATTAGCAAAAAAAAAAGAATCATATTACATTAACATCAAAGTTACCTTTGTGTTATCTTATGTTACACACGAAAAAAACCATAAAGGAAATGGAAGGATACTTATATTCGACTCGTTACGAGACGTTCTTTTGATACATCCAATTAACAGAATTAAGATATAGAATATGTTTATTACTAACAAATCGGAGGGAATTTCCAGAGTTACGAAATATAATGTATACAATACTTGCTAGGATTGTGAAATATTTTGAGAGCAATTGAAAGAAAACGATTTTAATATTATTAAATAAGAAAAGATTTTGAAAAGAAAAAGATATCTGTAATTTATATGTAAATTTCATAAACAAGACCAAAGAAAAAAGTAATGTTAGATGATTAAAAGAACATCAGTTGATGAAACAATTCTCATAACAGAATCAAATTTATTATTAAAAGGTTTATCAATTAATCTCCAATGCTTTTTATTGCAGGTACAGGATTTCGGTACTTCGCAATTTCAACTTCAGCTTCATAGAAGCTCATTCGATTGTAGCAGAAGTATTCAGGAGTTTTATATACTCCGGTCTTGTCAGGTTGTACCCCAGGGCCCACAGGCTCCGTAGCTGAGGATATCACAGCACTGCTCAGTCCAGGTACTTTTTCAGGCGGTATTGCACTAGATGAAGTAGATCCAGTCTTTTGGTTTTTATCCGAACTGTAAGCCTTTGAAATCACTCGCACAAAATGACCCCTTAATGCGGATCTCGCCATCATTTTGTAGGGAAAATTTCAACTTCAAAATTAAAATTTAGAGACGAAATAAATCAATTGCCAATTTTATCCGTCAATGTCAAACAGGTTGTAAAAGTTGGCTTTTGCTTTTAATACAAAGATTCCTTTTGAGAAAGAGAGACTCCTTTTGAATACCTATCAAATATGGAATTATAACAGAAATATTGATGGAAATATATTTTTGCAGTGGCATCGTTTAATTCGTAAACTTGATGTAAACTTGCGTCGTGCAAAAATTTAAATAATTTAATAAAAATGATCATCATTTTTTCTATCACTATCGGTCATTTTACAAATTTAAAACAAGTATGGTACTTATATAATTATTGTGAAGTGCAATATATCGAATATACGCGTATCGAAGGACTAATATCGCAAATGTTTTAATAGCAACCAAACCAAAATTGAGGTAATATGTAAATAGTTCCAAAACTGGTAAGTTGCAGCAACAGAGCGTAACCAAATTCGGCAAGCTTAGGGCAGTTCTATCTAGTTTCATCTGGTTACAAGATCTTAGAACTTATATCACTGAAGTTGGCTCCCTTCGTAGTTTAGGCGTGTTCTTAATTACAAGAATGAAAAATGGTTGTTCTATTTGTTAACAATGTCGTGTGAATACTTTAAGTGATTCCATGTATGTAAATAGTAGATATTTACAAACCAACCATTCGATTTCCATTTGGACAAATTTGATTTTGATAAATATGTAGTACCTCGTATATATATAACGATCTGAGGTTCTTTTTCCTAATAAATTTATAAAAAATAAATTAAAAATGGCACTATTTAACACTCAAGGAGTCTCCCCACATGACGTACCATTCGATTACTGCGCCAGCCGGCTGGCGCAATCTGGACGACAATAGACGAATACGATTCGCAATTTAGCATTATAACTGTATGCAATCGAATGAATAAATGATATTTATTTGCTTAAATTGTTTACCAAAGGTAGTATATGTACACATAATAAAACTGTCCTCATATTTTACTAATATGCTAATTTACGGATATATACATTTTGACAGCTAAACAATTCTAAAGCAATTACCATTCATTACTAAGATTAGATAAACAAACACCTAGTAAGTTTTTGTAATATCATGAAGATGTCAAGAATATAACAGTACCTAACATTTTTATTTTATTTTCATATACATATGTTAAGTGATCAAATTTATTGAGATTTATATATAAAAAAGTCCTTGATTGAATAGAATTTTTTATCTCTTAACTATGACATCAGCTTAAATAGAAGATTATTATTTATCATTTTTATAGCAGAGGGCAATTCATTATACTCGTATATTAAAACCTCACACACATGACGCCGCATTGTTTCTAGTAGTAAATTAATTTGTGTATAACTAATCTGTCTGGGCTCCTGTATTTTTTTTATGATAACCTAGTGACGGGACGAACAAATCATGCGTCTGGTGGTAAGCGACACGTCGGTCCATATCAGTTGTTGTGTCACACAGATCTTTAAATCCCAGAGGTCAGGCTGAGACATAAGTTGACACGTCATAATTGTGTAATTTAAGTAATTTAAATAATAATTATTATTTAAATTACTTAAATTATTATATAAATAGTAATTTAAGTAAATTAAGTAATTTCACCAGCACCCTTAGGTACCCTTCAAGACAGGAACGCTCACGCATCGATACTCGATCTGCTGCAGAAATAGATAGGTAGCAGTAATTTCCTGTAAGAACGTTCACAAGTAACTCTACTGCTACTAAACACTTATTACAAACAAGGGTGCGGATGTAAATAATACTAATAATAAATAATGGAAATGCTACTAAATTAACTACCATTGTGCTACTATAGTGAATGTCCCGTGTCTTTTTAAAAAGTTTCTTATTATTCTTTACAAAATTAGATACTTGAAAGAACATACAAGGCAGCGGTAAGTTGTTAAGAAATACTAATAAAGGTTTACATCGATACGATAAAAACAAGAGGGATGATATTCTCTTTTGAAAAAGGTTTTACAAATTATTTTGTTGTTGTATGTTCTATATGCATGAGACGTACTTTCTCAATGCTACGTACTTAGTTAATTATTAAGTAAATATATATAAATGTGTAAGAGCGTGCTCGCTAACCAAATGTTTCCAATTGGCGGGATTTAGTCATTTGGGAAATGTATACTTTTTTTTTTAAATAATTGATAAAAATAATATGTAAATTAAAATCGACATAAAACTTTGTCAACAACAAATCATTGAAAATAAAAACTGAAATCTCTTGAATCTTCAAATTTATGAAAACATCGAAAAGTCAATGCAAACCAAACAATGAATGAATAAAATTCAAACATTGTAGTACAAATTCAAATATGTAGAACATTGACACAGAGGGGTACTTAATTTCTCTGTTGAAGCAAGGGACGCGTGAGCTGGGTCGGGCGTCAAGAGGCTATCCTTTCTACCGGAAACGATCCCGACCGTTATTGTATTCATTGAAGTTAAGTTTATTTACATTCCTATCGAGGCGTAGCATGTCTTAGTTTGAAAACGATTTTCACGTATGTATAAACTTCCATTTTATACTGAGATTATACTACAATATTGATAAACGACATTGTTATTATGTATTAATGCATATTCATGTCAAGATAGCATTTTACTATGTAATTGTCCTGATTTGTTACCATAAAAATGCTTATTTGCTTCTTATTACTAATATCAACATAAATATCGATGTATAATTTAGTATTATATAGAATTGTTTTCTAAAAGTAATGGATGTGACCAAAACCAAAAGCAACCGGACTAAGTCAATTCGCTACTATTTTGTTTTCAGCCTAACTGACTATATCTACCTGAATATACTCTCCTTAATATCCACGCCATCTACAGTAAATATTCCGAACAACTCACCCTCTGTGTGGCATAGCAGGAGGGGTCGAGAGCCCCTGGCCGGTACATCGCCGCGCTGACTGCTGCCATCTGCCGGCTACCTCAGCTTACCCTTCCACCGAGACATCGCTCTGAAACAAAATAGGAGTTAGATAAGAACCGGGGAACATATTGCAGTCTTGTTCAGGTAAAAAGGAATGCTTCTAAAGAACAACAGAGGACCCAGATTGGAACCCTAGAGCAACCTTTCAATATTTTGGTACTGCATGAACTGTTAAGTTCAAATTGCACAATATACCACTATTTAGACATTTAATATACAAATAGAGCCTTAGAGGATGAAAAACTAAAGGAAAATAGTACATTTAATGCCGATATATTAAAGTTTAAAACAAAAGTGGACCCGGTGTAATACCTTGAGGGAGAGCACCAAATACGATCGACAACGTTAATGTTAAGTAGCAAAATGTCTTAACTAACACGTTTGATTTATTTACTCGTAGATATGCGTGCTCCAAAGATAACTAACGCAAGATGTGAGGAAATTTACTTCCTCCAGAACATGTTTTATGATAAGGGCATGTGAATTAGTGCCGAGTACTAGTAATTTACTAGAGACGGGAGACATATGTACGTTCATGTTAACTTGACGTCGTTCTTAATAGAAATGTAGTTACTCCCATTAATCCCACTTATATTATAAATAGGAAAGATTGGTTGGAGCGATGATTGAACGTTTCTGTGTTTGTTACTCATTCAAGCCGATACGGCTTTATAGACATGAATAATAGATCTAAAGGATTAATTGAATATATACTTGGATTAGCACTTATTAACCCTAAACACAAAGTTCAATGTACAATTATTTATTAGTTAAATGAAATGTAGAGGTATATTGTATCGTATTAGTTATTACAGGAGATATTTCTGCTATTAAAACTGTTATGTAAGGACATTGCGCTTATGCTATAGTAATAAAGACTTAGAATCCCGTAGAATTTAGTAATTCTACGAAGTTCTAAAAGTATGATAAAACAGAGTTCAGTAGTCTGAATTCTGGTTTATAATACTTTTAAGTGTTGAAGATCGGAACTTTTAGGAATTGTTTCTCAGTGCCATATTTATGAACAAATATTTTAGGTGCTACATATTATTCTACCATTTGCACCATGCTTAATAAAAGTCTCCATTTTGCAACAATTTGGTGACCTCTTTAAATTAAACATATGTCTGTACAACCTCTAAGTAAGCAATTTACGAACACAAACCCATCAAAGCCGTTCAAACGCTTTCAATTACGCGGAAAGCCGTATTTTTTCTCATTTTTTAACGCAACATGTAGCCTACAGCTATTATTGTGCAATGCGCCGGCGCATCCGTATGCCGCGACGCGTGTCATTGACCCTGCTTCCTAGCGCGAACGCACAGATTACACACAACAGCCTTTTAAAGGATGCATAATTAACATGTTGTGCATTTATGTCACAATTTAATTTTTTAGTTAGTTTGTATTTCATATTTTTTCCTGTTAATTTTTATTCTTATTGAATCGATCTGTGTTTGTTGTTGCTTTTGAGTTTACTCTGACGTCTGACTATGCTTCTTTCTGCCTATCTTCATCTTTATCAATTTCGTGTTGGGTACTCAAGTTAGCTATTTTAATTACACTACTTCTTTTTTAATTCATTAGGTGGTTTCTATTTCCAAAAACTAGGACAACTCAATATTCCCTATACTATGTTCTTGTACCGACATTTCCCATAGAGGTCACCGTAATGACTCAACCACACGTACATACTCGTATAAGCGCAAGGTACAAAGAAATTGTAACGCTCCAGGGTTTCCATTGTTTATCGACAAGTGTTACCGTATGGATAAGCGTTGTATGAGTAACTGTTTGTGTGTGGAGGAATTTATGGAGCTCCAGGTCAAAGTTTTCTAAATATCCATTTAAGTGGTAATTGAAGTGGTGGTAGTCCAGTTGGAAAAAGGTTACTTCTTAATTGAGATGTCGAAAGTTCGAAACCCTATGGTGGCATGTACTTATGACTTTAATTTCTAAGTTGATTACATTAGTAAATGGTTAGTAGAAATACTCTAAAATGGCTGACTCCTTAGAAAACTGGTGAAGCCTTCAACCCACATCGGGCCACCGCAGCGTGGCGGTCTGTGTTCTAAACCTTCTCCTTAAATTCTGACGATGATGATGATGGTGATGGTGGTGGTGGTGTGGTTAGTAATTATTTATTACTCTTTCATACCCTCTCTCTTTATTTCAGAAGAATAATACATATTTATACCAGTGGTTCTATACAAGATAAGTTTTGAATGTTCCACATTAGATATCAATGGGAATATTCCATTATTTTCTAGTGGGTTTCGTACTAAACGGTTAATACAAAAAATCAAAGTGATTGATTGGTAGTTGCAGCAACGTCTCCTAGTATCAGACTATCTAGTTTAACGGACTGAGAACAAATCAAGCAGTTTGAAACCAGGCTGAAGGTAAAACGCCCGCTATTAAAACTTTAGTAATCAGGTATCACAGTAGCGTAGTAGTAGTAGTATATAGCGCAGTGACCCAAAGTGAGTCTGGCCTCCGACACCAGTTTCTAGTTCCTAGTTCTGAACCTGTTCCTTCTAGTCACCAGCACCGAGATTCTATAGATCTTTCTAGACTTGGTCAGCGTCCATTCGATCATCCCCAGCGAGCTCTTGTCGCAGCTCGAACATCTCTCATTCTCTCTTCGTATTTGATTGAAGTAAAGAAATTAGTAATAGAAAAATTGTAAGTCAATGTAGAAAAAGCAATATTTTTCGCAGTTTAAATAATTTGGATACTTTTGTTCAAGTATATAATAGCTTCCATAAACTTGTTTATTTTTGTATTAAATTTCGATGTCGGTTGATATAGCGGTTACCTAGATGTTTTTAAATAAAATATCATCGGAATCAACTGCAGTGATGGCGTTCTTTGTTCAACAAACATGCTAAAACGTGACGTGTCTTAACAAAAACGTGTTTCTTTATAAAACAATACTTATATGTCCTTAAAATTACTGTTATTCTACCACATTACTCGAACACGCCTTCCGTGATGTTAGTGGTAGGGAAATTATAAGGAAGTGAGCAAAAAAACTGCACGAAGAATGTTAACATTGAGAAACGCAAGGTGACCACATGACTGCATGTAGGTCGGCCTTACTATATTATTATAAACAACTTAAGTATGTTATTAATGTAGGTAACATTTTCATGCTAGATAATGCTTAATTAGATAATTCGAGAGACGTATTGGTGGATATAGACGATAACGTTGTTTTTATTTGTTTTAATTACAAGTTATGTTCTCGGTGTACACTGACATTTTAAGAACACTTTACATTATACGGGATGAAACTAAACAAGTTTGTTAACAAAAAAAGTCTGACTCCGATCATAAAAAATTGGTTCCCCGTATGTATATTAGAAAGAGTTTTTTAGCAGAGAAATTTGAAGAGAGCCACACCGACAAAGCAATGCTCTATAATAGAAGAAGATACATTGAAGTGAGCAGATTGAAGCGCATCAACCTAAAAACAATATCATTTAAATGACAAAAGCACGTAGAAGTCAAATTCACTTATTTCAACTTAAATTGTATTGGCGTCTATTTCAACCCTATCATTCTTTTCACATCTCTCGAAGTTGTAACACCACGTGACAACAAATTTTGCTTATTCTTTCCTAGCATTACGGTTTCCTTATATACGTATTAAAGACCTTACAATAGAGAAGTTAGGAGATCTACACAAGCAAGATAAGAAGATATATAACTAGCGTAATCAATTGGAAATTCGCATAGCCAAACAAAAAATTGTTTCTCGCATTTTATTACTACAATTATTTCTTATCATAAGTACGACCACGAAATTATTTGACATTCTTGTTTCAGTATACCATATTTTTACGTTTGTTGTATTTGTATAAAACTCGAAACAATGTTGAAATCTGTGAAAGTATTTAAAATGATAAGCAGAACAAAACTGACAAAATATGGAAGGCGGACGGAGGCGTCTATTTAAAAAAAAAGATGAATTAGGCGCCGGCGTGAAGAGCAATATTTCAGTAATCATGTATTTCGTTATTTTCCCTGTATAATCAATCTAAACGCGGCTTATCATAGACAAAATAACATAACAATATTGTTCCGGACTCCTTCGTTTTATATAATACCTTTTCGTATTTTTCCTATATCATTGTGAATAAAAAAAACCTATAAAAAAACAAGCGTTTGCTTAGAGGATGGAAAAAAATAAATAGTCTAAGGGCGCTAGTCGCCTTTTCCATCAAAACAATGAAAAATACTAATATATAAAGGGACTGTATGGTGCAACTCTTGTCTACCAAAACAAATGGTTGAAAACTTGTAAATAAATCTAGTAGTATAAGTCAAGCGAATTTTATCCCATTTCACAATAGAACTCAGTGTTTTCCCCTCTTCTAAGATTTTTTCCGACTTTGACGTTGACAGAATCATCATTTCTGGTACTAATGATAAAGCCATAAAAAAAATTGAAAATAAAATAAATTGCACGTATAAATGTGACAGGCGCACGATATTACCAGGGTTGCCGTCAGAAATATTAATGGTTATTGAAACACCGGTCTTCTCCGCTATGTTTTTGTAGGTTATAGACTTCAAATTCAAAAGAAAAAAATTGTTTATATTTACCTTACGTTCATATCATTAGAAATGATAATAATAGTTCGTTCTGACAGAGTTGAAACATTATCCTAATTTTCATCCCATATTTATTGCAAATTATACCTTATAACACGTAAATCGTTTTATAATATAACACGTACACACAATAATTACATAATTGTGTGACCCCCTATAGAAGCTCCATTGACACGGCTGACAGTGAAAGTCTAGAAGAAACCTCAAAACATCATTAGAATAACCACGAATGTACAAATTACGTTTTTTGGACGCAATCATTGAATTATTGTGGGGAAAATATGGTATGAAATGAAGGCGATTTGTCAAGAATGCTATTGTACTCTAGAGACATTTATGTCAAACGAACGAAATACAGGCAACAAAAGAGCAAACAACTAATCTGTGTTAAGAGTCTTGTCACTATCT